TGCAGGAAAGAGAACCAGCTCTGATAATGTCCAACAAATGATGGACGAAAGCTCAGCTTGTTTTCCCTCGAGACGAGGGAGAAGGTCTCGTGGACTGCTCCAACCCGAACGTCGTATAAAAGCGAAATGGCTGCAGTACAACGCGATTCAGCCGTTCTCTTCGGGTGAGATCGACCTATGAATCTCTTCTTTATGCATTTTCATACGAAATAAAAGTCCCCCCAACGATGTTATCTCAAGAGATTCATCTAAACCCAGTGTACCGTCGTATCTATAATTCACTTATACTCGTGTGCTTTTGTGTGTGCATGTGCGTCTGTCAACGTCTGTACGCAAAACTGGCCATTACTTAAAGTAATTAGAAAAGAGCATATCGTCAGCCTGGGTCATCAAGTTTTAATGACCCAGGGAAAAAAGGAACAAAGGAAAAAAGGGAAAAAGTAAAAATGGATGTCCGAGATTGCGTTAATCCATGAATGAGATGTAAGCATGTACGAGTAAAATTCAGGTTACGAAACCACCAGTCCAAACCCGCTAATCCATGTTATTCAGCTTTACTAACCCAAGAAGAATCATGACTGGAAATGTGTAATCCCGCACGTTTATTTTGGTTGATGAGCTCGACATGCCTCTTGAACGAATGTAAATGCGGCTAGAAGCATCAGTCAGCTGACAAGTAGAGTCGTCTTCTTTTAGAGGGCGGCTCAATATCCTCGTTCTCCTCCAACCTTTCAATCATGCATAAACAATTCTTACGCCACTTTCTGCCACCCTTCCTCACATGCAACGTATTGCATAATCTAGTAATTTCCTTAGCCCTTCTTATCTTGCTTTTCTTAATAGAAATACCATAATCAGCCAAGCGCTGCGTCCGAGATTATTCTATCTCATGTACAGTCTCCCTCATGTTTTCAGCCAATTCTGACCGTTCGACCCAGCTGCCTTGACAAGCAGTTTTGTGCTCAGCTAATCTCTGGCGGATCGGCCAACAGGTTTCACCAACATAAGGTCGGCCGGATCTTGTTGGTCGGTCTTATTTCCCTCTAAAGTAGGCATAACCAAAGCAAGTGTTAGAGTCCCTTTGAAAACTATCTTTATCGCTCACTTCCTCACCAGTTCGCCCACTTTCTTAGAAAGATTACATGATGGCAAGAGTAGAACATGAGGAAGGATCTCGGCTTATCCATCTCTGGCTAGATGGTCTCCATCTGAAAATGTATATCTCATCAAAAGGATATTATTATCAATTAAACTCAAAGGACACCTATTCTCCAGCAACACAAGTCTCAGTCTTCTTAACTCTCAGGTCAGATGATTTTCACCGCAAGCCTCATAATCCTAATAATCATTGGTTTCAAAATGTCAACCTTCGTTTTGTAAGTATGCTTAGAAAAAAGAGTAAGAATAAAACTAGCATATACTGGTTTCCCATAAACCTCTCTGTCTAGCTTATCATCTTCCCTAGTAACCATAACATATATCATATAACATTGAAAATTTGATATTTCTTTCAGTCTGGTTAAGGGAAAAGATGAAACTACCTAAACTGTGCCTACCATGCTGCTAGATGACAAAATAATCATCGATGCACCTGACAAACGATTTGAGACTCAAAATTACCTTTTGGATTAGGGGATCCTCTAACGTAGCATTGCAGTTGTTCGCCAATATTGGAGCTATTCAAGTACCCATTGCAAGTCCATGCGACTGTTCGTAAAACTAACCGTTAAACGTGAGGTGGTTATTACTCATGAATAGGTTAAGGAGCCTTACAATGTAGGCTATACTCAACGTAATTTCTTCCATAGTCTCCGAATGCTCCTCCAAGGTGAGCATTAGAGCCGGAATGGTTTCTTGAACCGGAATATTTGTGTACATTGGTACCACGTCAACACTTTCTAGTGTGTCTTCGTCTGAATTATTTTGCTCGTTCACTAGTTTAACAAATTCATAAAAGATTGTAACCGAGTGTAACCAAAATTCGGTCAGGTTTCTTAATTGTCTGCATAAAAGTACCATTATTGTTCACGATCGATTTAGAGGGAAAGCCCTCTTTATGCACCTTTTGAAGACCATAAGCCGAGACTGCTCTAACATGTTTCTAAGGTAGGGAATTCCTTTTCAATTTTTCCATTTCCCCGATATTTACACATACCTTTTAAGCATTATTAGCCTAGTTTTAATCTCCACTGTTGGATCATTCATTTAAGGCTTATATGTGTCAATGTCACTTAAATGCACAAGTATTTTCTCTAGATAACTTTACCTATCCAAGACTACCACTGCTCCACATTTGTCGGCTTTCATAACGATGAGATTATGACGAACCAACTATATTAATACCACGCTCGGAACAAATGACTTCTTTGTCGTAACTACCTGGTCAAGGTGTGGAATCACCTCCAATTCTAAACTATTCGTGACTTGTTCAGGTAATCTAACTGATAAGCTAATTAGCTCAACCAGAATTTCCAGAGAATGGTTTATTTCATTCGTTAGTGCCAGTATAAGTTTCACATCATCCTCCAGCTCTGTACTGGACAAATTAAGTAGCTTATCCTTGACAAATTCGTTAGACTTTTCCTTATTCACCATTGCTTTGGACTCAAGGTCTCCCGAACAAATCATAATACCCACGTTTTATAGCTTCTTAGCGTCGACCCTACCATTCATCTTATAGATTGATTCACCCGCAATGCCAACCATGTCTTGTAACTTAAGAAAGTCTTCCTTATTCAGAAGCTGAAAAGCATTTGCCTTATTCTTGTTTTGGTTTCAATCAGATCGTGTAAATTAATGCTGCTCTGCTTAGGCCTGGTTTTAACCAAACCACTCGATACCTCATCCACATCCTTATTAGCAGAAATAGGAAAATTATTACGCCTACCAAGAAGACAACATTTAGGAAATAAATAGTGTGAAATAAACATTTTGAAGATTATAATAAACATTAATTTGCCGTGATATAGTTAACTTGGTTTTAGTGTGGTGGTAAGACAGATAACAAGAACCTGAGCCAGGCATATCTACGTTGTATATGCAAATAAAATGCCGGTTTCGAATAATCGCCTAAGACAGGATTGTTGTGAAGACTAAAAAAACAGCGTGGACGTCCATTATGAAAAGCTTTATAGGTCAACCTCATCAGGAGACGCCGGCTGAGTCGCGTTTTACA